GGCCCTACGGTTTGGTCTTGAGAGGCTGGAATTTGACTTTTTTTTTTGAATATCCCGAATAGATAGTTAGAGCCTGTGATGATGTCACCAGGGTGGAGGGCAGATTTGTGGATTTTTACTGATTTTTGCCAAAATGTTAACAGCGATTGCGGCCAAACGATGTGAGAACCGGCCTCGTGGCTCCAATATGTCGAAGGTCTGTCTTTTGTGACCTGTTTGGTATTTGAATGAGGTTTCTCTGAGGATGTGGTGCCGAGTATTTGGGCCCAGAAGCTGCCTAGGTTTCGGGCCCATTTTTGGCCTTCCCATTCATTTGCTATTGGACGGCGTTTAACCTTTTCCGCATTTATTCGAAAACGGCAGGCCTAATGAGAGAGAAATATACAAGCAATCGACCCGTTGTCGGTTGGGACGGGCTTTCCTTTTTTGGGTCCAATACGTCAAACCGTGTGGGACTAGTTAGCGTCTGAAATAAGAACTCAATTAGCAATCAAGGCCCGGAACTGGGCTGAAAAAGACCAAGAACATGCCTGAAACAGAGCAAGAACAGGGCAGAAAATGGGCCAGAACAGGGCTGTTGCTTCATCAGCTGCACTGACACCACAGCTGAGTAAACTTTAACCGAGTCTGAGGGCTGTAAACCCTACAGGACACACCCTGCCTCTGGAGAAACCTGTGGGGTCAGAGCTCAGAGAGATATGGATAATGATCGATGACTTATCGTACCTGGTATGACTAAGCAATAATTGGTAACTTATCCCATGTTGATCAGTGATTGAAATGGAGTCAGAATGGGTCATTTGATCATTACAACCTGCCTTAGGGCAACAGGAACAGGACAGAGCAGAAGAGGGTCAGAACAAAGTCAGAACTGGGCCAAAAGAGGGCCAGAAATGGTCTGAAACTGGGCCATAACTGGATCATAACAGGGCCATAATAGAGCCATTGCTACTGCAGCATTACTGACACCACAGATGAGTGAACTTTGAGTCGGAGGGCTGTAAACCCTACAGGACACACCCTGCCTCTGGAGAAACCTGTTGGCTCCTCTGTCCCGCCCCCCCACTGAGCTCTCATAAGGAAGGGTGTGACGGGAAAGCCTCATTTCCTGCTTCAGCTTGTCAGTCTGTCGTCTTTCGGAGCTCACAGATCGGTTCTGTTCAGGGGAAAGTTGAACTGTTTAACAGTTACTGACAGCAGAAATGGCTCATAAAGGAGTTCAGCTGGACACAGAAACCTTCTCCTGCTCCATCTGCCT